ACATTATTATTGTAGAGAACTGAACAACCATGCAGCCAAATTTACTCACAGCTCCCACAGGAATAGCAGTTGGGGAATTAAACCAGTCAGTGGGTAGGCGGATGTCACTTGGGAGGAAATGCCCTGTACCAAGTGGGAACCTTATGGTGTCTATTGATCCCCAGATAAGCAGGCACCATAGTGATGCTTTCCTGGATACGGGTGGTCTCATGGCGTCTCTATGGTAGGACCTGAGTTAATGGATCCAGTTTCTCCATTTGGGATGACAATAAAAGACAGACAGACAAATGAGCAAACTGATATTAGACAGTAACATTGAGCTCAATATTTTCTGGTCACCCTTTCACGTTACCTTCCCAACTGCTCGCTAAACTCAACAAGCAATGTTCATTTCTAGTCTGCTGTCTAAAGAGAGTAATTTCCGTCTACAGCCACACTGTGAGCTGATATTCAGGATTATCTGTACACTATGTCAATTTTCTTAACATCTGTAGTTACTAGAGGAGAAAAGCAGCAGTATCGCTTACGCTTACCACCACTGAAAGTATGGCTGCTCCATTAATTATGTTAATTTTGAACCCTTAGAGTCAAAGACATTAACCTCGCTGGAGCAAAATCCACATCACTTTAGTCTACTTGCTAAGTTGAATGGTGGGTAAACTGTTCAGTAAACAAATTAGCCTCGAAAGATACCAGGTAGTTCCCTTTCATCTTAAAGATTCACTGACTTCATCATCATCTCAAACATAGTGAGACCGCACACTCCCATAGCTCTCAAACATAGCTCCTGGTACAGGGGATACAATAAGTCATTATTAACCATGACTGCTTGGGGAACCAGGCTTATGGGAAGGGGAGGGGCTCAGTGTTCCAGCACTTGTCTGTGTAACCTGCTGGTGGTAAGCAAATCCCAGAGCTGTTTCCCATGATCAGCTGAGAATGACATCAGGTCCCTGCAGGGCATAAGCCAGACTGGACAACAAAATATCCCTGAACCATGGCGATTCACTCTCCTTCCCCTTCAAATGCTGACTCGTGCTTTGCTTAATCTTGGTTTCTGTTATGGGTGTCCCTTTCACGGCAGGTCCAAACCCTCAAGATTTTATGTTTTCCTAAGTCTTACTTCTGATTTCTCCCTGTCTTGGCTATGTTATCTATTAACATCACAAAGTGGCAGAGTTGTCTTTGGGATATGACCGATTATACTCTATTGCTTATAGTGATCTTCCCAAATTTTCATCATGAAACTCAGTTTCATGCTGTCATGTTTGCATAAGATAGACATTTACATATATACACATAAAACACTACTAGTTTTCTAAGCAGATATACAGCCCTATGTCAAAGAGGCTGGAAGAGACCACTTTCTGTGAAAAAGTTATCTCTTTTCTACATCGAGAGACATACAGAATAGGCAGTCAGTGCCACCTAATTGATTTCCTGTCCTCCAACCTGGACTGCAGTTATGCCATCATGGGGAGAGAAACAAGGGGTGGTAAACTTCTTTACAAAAAATCTTCTAAGGTGAGAGTTTATACAACTTTCCCAAGTAATGAATTTCATTATAACTTGAGTCTTTATTACTACAAAATCTAATTCTCTTCAAGTTCATTGTACTTCCCTAAAGAAATGGCATATTTGAAAGGGTTTGAGTCACACTTTACAAACCATTTTCTCAGTCTCATTGTACCAAATGGTTTTCAATAGGTTTGTCCTATTTTTGTCTTTTTTAGATTTAGAGTCCTCCAAAATGTCGGTCCTCAGGTTTAAAAAAACACCTGATTCAATCATAAAAATAAAGCACCAGTTTGATTATTTAAACATAAACAGTGTGATTATCTAAACAGAAAATATTTGTGAGCATCTCTCTTAAGTTTGATGTATGCTGTTGATGCAATACATTATAACTAGTATTCTTATACTATTACTAATTGTGGTACTTACCTTTAATCTGATGAAACTGCTTAACTAGATCTTTTATATCCAGAGAAGCATTCCCTGAAGGAATAAATACAATAAATCAGATACAAAAAATCCCAACTTAAAATGCTTTCTTTTCCAGAGCAACAAATATACAATCTAAAGCAATAACAAACCTTCTCTAAAGAGAATAAGTTCTTTAAAATAAACTGATGCAAACTGGGTGATGTTTTGTGGTCTGGCTTTGAGGACGGCTTTGCTGACTCCTTCAAGCAGTGTCTTGAGGCCATAAGGTACGACAATTCTGGGTTTTGAAGAAATCATTTTTGGCAGATGTCTATAATCTCAACTATAATGAAGAAAAACAAAGTCTTATAAATAGTGTGTTAGTTTTTTATTAAAATATTTATAAGTTACCTATAGTTTTTAAGAACAAATTTATCCCCCATTAAATTTATTAGCTTTAGTTCTAATCTCTCAGTATTTATTCTAGTAATATGGGCTAATTCTTGACGGTAGTTTAAAAAAAANAAAGAGGGGGGGGCGCAGCCCACTATCCCATGCAGGAGTGGAACCAGCAACCTCATTGTTAAGAGCACGCACTCTCACCAGTTCAGCGGCAGCTCAGCTCGGGCGCAGCTCACTGGCCCATGTGGGAATCGAACTGGCGACCCTATTGCCCAGAGCTCGTGCTCTAACCAACTGAGCCATTCGGCTGGCCCCCCAATTCTTGACTATACCATTGCTCGATAATTTATTTGCCTTCCTTAGTGTGGACTATTCCCCAAGTGATTAATCTTACCATAATGGGAAAGCATGAAGGACCTAAGACCTCCTCCCCAAAACATCACCAGATTGTAGGGACCCAGGCCCAGACCCTAGGCTAAGCAAGCTCATTTCGCAGAGTACCCCCGCCCAGAGGAATTTAAAAAGCTCCTGCTTCCGCAAAAACCATAACAAACTGTCTTGTCAAGAAAGTAAAAGAAGATAAACAAAGTATATGGCTTGTTAGGAAAAGATAAACAAGTCATGTTTTTTATAAACCGTCAAGAAGATAAGCAAGTTATGTATTAGCTCGTTAAAAATAATAACCTAACTGTGTTTTATAGTTTGTTAAAATAAGATAAACTAACCATTTTTCCTTTTTACACACTAACCGCTTTTTTTTTTGCTTCTGTATCCGGCTTCAGCTATAAATTCCTTACCCACCAAGACTTAGGGGCTGATCTCTTCTCTTGAGAGAGACAGTCCCAGGCCTGGTCAATAAAGTTTCTGGAACGAAAACCTTTTGTGCAAGTTTTGTTAAGGAGCCGTAAACCTAACAAGATGATCATTCAAACCTTTTTTAAATTTCATGAAATTCTTACCATGGTAATAAAATTCTTAATGACCTTGCCTATGCAAATAAAAGACTCAAGAAATAAAAGGGTCATTTCGGCATAATAAGTATCCCTGTGTTTAGGGAACCAGAATAGTCTTACTTGAAAAAATAGAGAAGTGCTGAGTAGCACCAGAGCTTCCCAAAATTTAGTATGGATAGTCCAAAAATAGATATATTCCTTGTTTGTTTAGTAAGAGTGTATAGCCAAAAGTATGTGTAACCAGCTATAAAAATAATGCATGAATACAGAATTTTGCATAAGAAAGCAAAAACATTTATTATGAATATTTAATATGAATAACTCAAGACAATATTTAATGATATGCATAATTGCTATGGTGCTGCACAGGAATTGAAATTTGGCTCAAAGATCAGTATCAGTTCATGAGTATAATTACTATTATCTGGCCAAGCCAAGAATGTCCAGGATCAGTTAGAAGAGTGAACAGGGGAACTCAGTTGGGGACCCAGACAGACTAGGCCTTCTTGATTCTTCAAAAGAGGTGGTTATTCCTCACCTGTACTGGAAGCCAAGACAGGGCTACACTGGAAACTGGACTCAATTAGGCTTAGAGGAATGGAAGGTGATAGTGGTGTTGAGATCTTATTTGCCATTCTGAAGGAGAAACCACTGCCCTTTTCACTGAGTGGTGAAAAGATCAGAAGAAGGTCACAGAGAAGGAAGAAGTGAAATAGTGGGAGATAATGGGGAGAAAGGGAGTTGAAATTCCTCTCCTTTCACTCTTTCAGTTCAAGAATTTAAGATTTTTCCAGAGGGACCCTAGGATGTTACTGACTCTATTGTAGAAAGCGCATGACTCATACTTCTAGGAAGATCTAAGTTTAGATCCTAACTCTACCAATTATTTAATATTTAGAAGCTTGCAAATTATTTACTCATGCCTAAGCATCAGATTTCTTTTCAAAAATTGCAATGAAGACCCCTACCTTATAAAGTTGCTTTTTTAAAAAACTTTTTTAAATTAATGTTTTTTGTGGGTGACAATTGTTAGTAAAGTTACATAGGTTTCAGGTATACATTCTGTAATACATCATCTGTATATCACACAAACCGAATAGCCAAAGCAATCCTAAGAAAAAGAACAAAGCTGAAGGTATCACACTCCCTGACTTCAGCTTGTACTACAGAGCAACAGTAATCAAAACAGTATGGTATTGGCAGAAAAACAGACACACAGACCAATGGAATAGAACTGAGAACCCAGAAGAAACCCCACATGAATGCAGACAGATAATTTTCGACAAAGAAGCCAAAAACATACAATGGAAAGAAAGCCTCTTCAATAAATGGTGCTGGGAGAATAGAAAGCCACAAGCAAATAAATGAAACTAGACTGCTGTCTGTCACCGTGTACCAAAATTAACTCAAAATGGATCACAGACCTAAACATAAGATCTTATGAAGTTGTCTTGATTGACAAAATATATCGTAAGGGCCTAGGACAAAACAGGGACTCAATAAATTCCATTCCCTTCTTCCTTCTCTCCTAGCATATACTAGTGGTGGAACTTTAGAGACAACTCTTTTGCCTTAAAATATCGCCTGAATTTCTAAAATCCCTCCAATGAATGATTTACTTGGATAATGAAGAAACTCCTCTGAGAAGACTGAGAAATGGGAAAGCCTTCATGATTCATATAGTCGTGTGATCTGTTTAACCAAATTGCAGAAAAACAAGAGGAGGATCCAAGAATGTGTTTCACAGCCTGAGCTGCTTTAGAAATGGACATATGTGGGTGACACGCCATAATGAAGGCTTGGATAGAGCCAGGGACCATCTTAAAGATCCTATGCTCTGAAAAGTGGGGGAAAAGATGAGAAGCAACAGAAAAGGGAGAAAAGTTTGCTCCCACGTCTATTTCTTCTCCTCCTCCCTCCTCCATCACCTGTCTCTGCATAAAATTTTGAAGGCACTGGGGAGATGGATAAACACTATTGGTCCTATGGTGAGGCCTACCAAGAATGGGGCTCCTTCTAAGAAAAATCCCAGGATGAAGTCTTCACATCAAACAAATGATATGTGTAAGGATGCATTCATCCCCATACTTTCCATGTATATGGACAGCTTGGTCGTAATGCTGCTAGACAGCAAAGTAACCAGTTGGGAATAACTCTGGCGGATACAGCATCCCCACTGAGCATTCTTATGAAACACATGGCTCTCGTGCTCACATCTGATGTCTGGAAGATGAGTGAGGACCAGAGCACTAGGAATGGCAGTTAGCTCTTGGCCATTTCATCAAGTTCTAATACCTTCTGTTAACTTGAGATATAGTTTCATGCTGAAGAGACTGAAAGACTAAAATAAGGGTCACTTGACTCAGTCTTCAAAGAATGATTAATTTCCCCATATTGTGAGTCATCGAAAGCCTGGGGGGACCACAGTCCTGAGCACCAATAGAGCATGTACGGTATTATAAGTGCCACCATCCATATTTAATACTGGGATCCATATAAATTCTGTCTAGAGGAAGGAGGAGATGCCACCTGTTATACCTACATTATTATTGTAGA